GTAACTGGTGCTCCACCCTGCTGCCGCCAGCCCCAGGGACTGTCACCCCACGGCGCGATGGGGACCGGGTCCTGGGGGCCTGGTGGGCAGGGAGGAGGGAGGACGTGCAGGGGAGGAGCGGCCGGGCAGAGCTGCTGTCTCCATTCCAGTCGTGGCAGTCATCCTTTTGGGGGACAAAATGTGTTTGGGTCCTGGGGTGAGTTGGGAGGCAAGGGACAAGGCTGTCCTTGAATACTAGATGGCCCACCCTGCCCTCAGCCCAGCACAGCCTTCCCTGGGCCACCTGCTTTGTCCCGAGCAGGAGGGGAGGGTCTGGAGGTGGGAGATCCCTGAATAAACCGCTGAAATACCCAGGAGGTGGAAGAGATGCAAGCAGGTGTTGTGCTGGGACGGAGGTGAAACAAGATCAGCTCGTGGTCCTTACAGCCCTGGGCTGTGGAGCACGACCTGTCCCCAGCCTGGGGTGGGGATGGGGATGAGGACAAGGATGGGGATGGGAATGGGGATGAAGATGAGGATGGGCAGCGTTTTTCTAGGGAGCACACCTGCCGCAGTGGTGGCTGGCGTTAGCTCTCTGGAGGCCGTCCCAACCTAGACCCCAGGAGGTAGGTCCAGGGGATCTGTTGGATCAACCAGACCTCCGCAGCGTCCCTGTTGGGTCTCTGGCACACAGGGGTCCCATGTGGCAGCCGACAGCAGGGTTTGGTCTGTGTGGGGGTTTGCAGAAGAGCAGAGCTGTGGTGCAGCTTTCAGGTTGCACCTGCCGCTGTTGGGGGAAGGACCCCGGTGTCCTGGGACATCTTGGCGGAGGTTGGAGGGCACAGAGGGCTTGACCCTGCTCCTGTCCCCCAGGAGAAGGTGAGCCAGCTGAAGGACGAGGTGCGCCTGCAGTACGAGAAGATGCACCAGATCTTGGACGAAGACTTGCGGAAGACCATGGAGATCCTGGACAAGGCCCAGGCCAAGTTCTGCAATGAGAACGCGGCCCAGGTGCTCCACCTCAACGAGCGCATGCAGGAGGCCAAGAAGCTCCTCAGCTCTGTCCAGGTCATGTTTGACAAAACTGAGGACATCAACTTCATGAAGGTGAGACAAGCTGCCCATGCCAGGGTTGGGGTGGGGGCTGTGGGGAGGTCTGGTTGCGTGGGGAGCATCAGGGAGGCGTGGGGCGTGGCGGGGAGCGGGCTTGGGGACACTGACCGGGCGAGCTGATGCCTCCACAGCAGCGGGAGAAGGCGAGGAGGAGCGGGGCAGGCTCAGCGCCAGCCTCGAGTGAGGAGGTGCTGCAGCTGGAGATGGGGCTGGGGCAGAGGGGGCTCAGCACCCCTGGGCAGCCTGTCCCCTCCTGGGGGGGCACAGAAGGTG